GGGTGGGGGGGGGAGGTGACCCAGTCCCAACATAGCCTGGTCCAACTAGGTCTGGCAGGGGTAAGAGTAGAAGCATGTTCCCCGACACCTGTTCATGGCTGTTGCCCAAACCCCTTCCCCAATCTTCAGCCATCCTCAGTTTCCCTTAGGTCTCCTCCCTCAGGCCCAATGCCACCCATTTGATAAGCCGGGGGGGGGAGGTAGTGGCCAGCTAGGAGAGCCATGTTTTCCCCAAAGAGTTTCCTTTCAGTAATGCTTTCAGAAACATGTGGGGCCAGAAGGATAAAAGGTGACAGCCTCCTAGCCAGGCCCAGGTCGACATGGAGGCCAACACTGAGGCCACTCTACCCACCCCCACCAACCCTCAGGAGGGGGGTCCCACCACACAGTCTTTTCAACTAAAAAATGGGGATAGGGTGAGGCAAGGCTTGGGACTGACGCGGACAGGTAGAGATATGGACAACCGGATGGTAACTCTCCCACTCAGCCTAATATTCTACCCGGGCAGGTGGTGGGAGGCTGACCACACCCGCGCCCAGCATGGCAGGAGGACCCAACGACCTAGCTGACAAGCCAGACACCAAGACGCTCCCGCATCCTGCGCTTAGAACAGATGCAGACTAGGAAAACAGCCCTGCCCGCACCACAGCCTGCAGGACAGACGGACCCACCACCAGACGCGCGCCTCACCCAGCACCACCGGGGGAGGACGTCGGACCGGTTGCGCCGGGTCTGCAAGCAGCATCAGCAGCAGCAAGAGGAATAGCAGGCTACCCGGGAGCAGTGTCGGGCGGTCGGGGCAGACGCGGAGGCCCATGGCGTGCGACCGCCGCTGTAGGTCCTAGGTGAGGGTTCAGCGCTCCAGGCTTGTGCCTAGGCAGGGGCGACAGCGATGCGCTTAACCCCGCCGCCCGCAGCCGCCCGGCCAATCAGAGCCGCCTCCCGCAAACAGCCCGCCAAATGGGGACTCACCGCCAGGCACATCCCTCCCAGTCGGAGCTAGCCGCCCCGCCCTGGCCCCACCCCCAGCCGGCTCCCTCGACCACGTTGCGCGCCGAGCGCATCGATAGATCCGGGTACAATCTGGTTCCCCGGCTCTCAGCCGCCCGCCGGGGGACCCAGCTCGCGGGTGTGTATTTGGCCTATCTCTGAGTATCTGAGGTCCACGCTGTGCAGGCCTCACCCCCGTTTCCTGGCGCCTCCCTGACCTGGAGGATCTGGAACGGACCGGGCCGAGGTGGGGATAGGGGTTCCAGAGCTCACCGCGGCAGAGCGACCCTGGTCAGAGCAAGAAGAGGGAAAGTGAGTCCCGGACAATTCTTGGGCCTTAGGTGACCAGGGGCTAACCAGGACCTTTCTGCACCCCCCACAACGGTTCTTCGCACTCTGCATTTTAGGGCGCAGAGTGTGGTGTCACCCGGACAGGTCGGGCACAGGGTTGGGGGTGGGCTTGAACCTCCACCGTGACGTGCTCCATCTGCAAGTTCCCCTGCAGAGCGGGAGGGCCACTGGGAGCTCGTGATCGACCCGCACGCCCACTCCGCGCAAACCTGGGAATCCAGAGAAGACATAGACCCCCTGCGCCAGTAATCACGGGTGAACAGAGTGGGCAAAGACCGGACAGCTGGTAATATGCCAGCACCATGGGTCACTCTGGGATAGAGGAACCAGCGTGTTTGAGAAACAGAGGTCTTGATCCTCCACACACACACCCAGTTCCAAGGGCCAGCACTCTGGTCATACTGCCCTGGTCCCAAGACTTCTGTCCTGCCCCATCCTTTCTTCTTGGTAAGCAGCTGACCCCGGGTTAGCCACTCATTATCTTGGCTTGCCCTTCTGAGCTATTATAGTGAAATACTTTGGTGATGGGGTACCACCCTCTTTAAGGTCTAACTATCTCCCACCTTGGGCCCTGGCTCAGGGCCCCCGATCCCAAAGCCCCTGCCTCCCCTACCTTCACCCCTGGACCCAACAGAGGGTTTCTGAAGACTCGTCTGGTGAAGACACAGTGTGGGAGACCTTAGAGACCCTTCCGCCAAGGGGTCCAGAGTCAAGGGTTTAGTTGGCAAGAATAGGGATCAGTAGAACCTGGGCCACCATGGACTCTGGCCACTGTCCAAATGCCTTGCTAGCCCAGCAGCATCAGGTGACCATGGACTCCTGGAAGGCTAGCCCTGTACTCTGGAGGAGTTCCCAGGTGCCCCACCCCCATGGGTCCTACAGGAGTTAGGAGCCATGTCTGCTGGGGGAGGGGTGTCAAGGCCTGGCCCGCGATGACCCATGCTAGTACTGTGGAGAAGGATGAGGTTGCAACAGAGGGAATGGCCTGAAAAAACAAATGGCAAAAATATTTTCTGTCTCTTTAAAACATCCTCTGCTCCTTTTTGAGAACTAAATCCTGCATCCCTGCCTCAGGCCAGTGGTTGGGAGGGGCGGGGTACCTCTTTTGTTATTTGTGCTACAGATGGCCCAGCCCAACCTGCTAAAGGGAGGTACTAGGCAGCGGTCACAAGATTGTCTTCAGCAGAGATGGGACAATCAGAATCATCAACTGTAGTTGAACAGTGATTGCCTGAAGCTGAGAACCCATCCTTTATTATTAAGATGATGGCATTTCAGACAGGAGTCCCCATCCTCTTCCTTGATGGCAAAGTAATAAAATGTCTCTTTCCTTCTCCCCAAAGCACTTGTTCTTGTTGTTCTGATGTGGCCTCCAGGACAAGTGGCTGAGCTTTCAGTAACAAGGTGAGGGTCCTTCCTTTTCACAATGACCCTACCATCCACCTGATCCCCCAAGCTGCAGACCTGGGGTCATCCTGGACTCTGGATGCCTTGGTACTTCCCAGACTCACAACCCAAGTGGTCACTAAGTCTTGCCAGCTCTACCCTCGCAAAACTAAACTACCCTCATCCCCATAACAGCCTCTTCACTGATGTCCCAATTTATGCCTTATTCCTGTGGAATGTTCTCCACATGCCATTTGACACCATTAAATATTGTCAGGTGCCATAGCTCTCCTCTAACCCCACTGGCAACCTGTCCATGGTATGCATCTCACTCATAGTGAGGACCCTGCGAGGGACTCTGGCCCTGTCTCCCCAACTCCCACTCGCCTTCTTCCCCAGCTGCCTCATCTCCAGCTTCAGTGGCTTCCTGGAACAGACAACCTTATCCCCGCTCAGGACTCCTGCACTTGCTCCACTGAGACCACTCTGCATTCCCTAGTTTTGGGGACTCGACTGAGCTTTGCATTTAGGCCTCGGCCCAGACATGACCATTGGATTTGAAGCAGCCCCTGCCTGGCTCTCATTAAAATGTACTGGCTACAAGAGCAAGCTTCTCACCTGCCCTGTTCCTGTCCCATCCTCAGTTAGTTACTGCCTGGCACAGTTCCTGGCACATAGCACATGCTTAAGAGATGTTGACTGAGTGAGCAACACACCCCCTTTTCTACAACCCCTCCCCTGCAGGATGGGGTCCTGGTGCCTATGAGAACTAGAGGAGGAGATGAGGGGCTGAGAGGTCAGCAGGGCTGGATGTGAGTTCTGGGAAAGATTAGGAAAGAGGGAGGGTATTAAATCCAGAGACTGAGGGGCCAGGCCAGCTGTGCTGTCTTCCCACAGGTAAGCATACAGCCAACAGCCCTTGTCCCTCCTGTTTCTGGACCCTTTGCATTTCCTCTCACTGGCCCAAGCTCCAAGCTCCCCTACCTGGACCAGATAGGTAGCTGGGCTTGAGGCAACTAAACTAAGACCAAGGCTTCTGAGCTGGTGTGGTGGCCAGAGGTGAGCCCATTTAGAGGCCAGTCAATTCTCCCTAAAGTTCACTCAGCTGAGCAGGCCCCTGTCCCTCTGCTGCCAGAGTCTCCCAGCGAGGCCTAATACTGATGCACTTACCACAGAACCCTGGAGGCAAAGCGCCCAGAACTGAGCTATTAATCTGGCCTAGGTATGGAGGAAGGCTGCCTGGGGGAAGAGTCATTAGGGATGGGTCTTGAAAGATAAGCAGGAGCTTTGGGGGAGGGGGGAACAAAGGGATGGGTGGGTAGGTGGGTGCCCCAGGCAGGGCGTGCAGCAGTCTGGAGACCTAAAGAATCACTAGAGTGTCCAGAGCATTGGGTGGGCCAGGCTGGCTGAGAGTGGAAGAGAGAGAAGTTGAGGGCCTGAAAACCAAGGTTAGAAACTTGGCTTACGTCCAGCCAGGAGCCACACGAAGACTCTAAAGCCGGAGGGAACTGGCCTGGGGATTGCATCAAGGGCCACCCCCTTTTCACCTCTGTCCTGGTCCCCTGCTCACTCCGCCCCTTGTCCTTCACCATCCGGATCTGGCAAGAGTCAGCGCGCCCCCTGGTGATTACTCAGCGGCGGTTCTGCGAAGGCGCGGAGATCCGAGCGCCGCGACAAGCCCAGGGCGCTAGCTACTCCGGTGGCCCGGGAGATAAGCAGGGGTGGCAGCGGGCCCGGCGGGCAGCTGTTAAGCCCGCGAGCGTGAATCCCCGCAGTGGCCCCCAGCGTCGAATTCTCTTCCACCGCGGGATCAGTTCTGGCCGGGAAGGGAAGGGGAGGACGCTTTTACACCACTCCTAGACGCCCTGGAGGTTCCACGAGATCCGCCACACTGCCTGCTCCCCGCGAGGGCCCCACCCTCTCTATATGCCCCAGCCAGAGCGCCGGCTGCCTTTGGGGCTCCAGCCCAGGCAGGCCTCAGAGAGCCGAGGTGAGGATGGAATTTTGTGCGTGTGCCCCCACCAGACCCAATCCCTTCTCCCAAATATCTGGAGGGCAGTTTGGGAGGCCTGGAGGCGTCTGGCTTGGGGTGGCCTGGGCTGTCGTACTTATCTCCTATTCATTAATCCATGATTCATGATTAATGGGGGTGGGAGGCATTTTTCAGTGAAGTACAAAAATCTCAAGCTACAGAGGGGACCTCTGCTACGCAGGGAGGTGCCTTGAGAAGAGAAAATCTGGAGGAAGAGCTGGGGTTAACTAGAGCACGGAGGGGAAGAAAAGACACAGATGTGACTCTACTGCAAAGGCCCTGTGGCCAGAGGGCGGCTTACCATTGCTGAAATACCCTAAGAAGAAGTCTTAGACAACAATTCATTCATTCAGTGCCAGGTCCCATGATAGGAGATGGGTGATGAGCCTCCGTCTTCAAGGATCAGATGATGGGGGCGGGGGCAATAAATGATTAATAAATCATGTTAGAAGTGGGTTAAGTGTGGGGTGGGGTGGGAGGTAAGGAGCTATGAGAGCGGGTTGGGGGACAGGAGTGAGGGTTGTTTAGTAATAATGGGATCATCTGGAAGGACCCAACTGAAGCAGACGAGTAACGGAGTTCAGCAGAGCAGGGACTCCCACGTTATTTGAACGAGTCGGTTTTTTCAAGAACCCAAGGGTCGGGAATTGTCTTGTGATGGCGACAGCCGGATGGGCGCCAGGAGTTTGGGGGAGCCGCCCTATGCTGCCAGCCCGGTGCCTCAGGTTCACCACTCAGCTGGGACCTGGACACGCATGACTGCGTCTCCAGTGGGAATGCGCTCAGGACGACCAGGGGTGCCACAATAGGGAGGTCACCTCGAGAGGGAGGCTTCCCAGAGGATCGGGCGCCGAGACCCGCGCTGAAAGAGTAAGTGGGAGCGCGAAGGTCTAGAAGTTGAACGTTTGGGGTCACCAGCAGGAACCGGACTGAGACCAAGTAGCACCCCGGCCTCCCGACAGGGGCGCTAGGGCTCCGTCCAGTAGGAGCAGCAGCTCAGACAGGAGTCGGGAAAGCAGCGACGCTGATCGGCGGAGTTTCAGAAGCACAGGGCGGAGGGCGGCTGGGGTGAAGGGGAGTTGGCTGGAAGGGCGTGGCCCCGATCAAGTCCCAACTCCGCGCGGCGCGGGCGCGCTCCCGGGAAGCAGGGGGAGGGGCCTTACCCCACGGTCGCGCCCCACCCCCGGAACAAATATTTGACATTCCAGGTTTATCGTGGGGGCGGAGCCTGAGGAGCGACGTTCTCCCCTCCCCCCGCGTTTGATTCGCTTAGTGCTTCCGGGGGTGGGGACAAGCAGGTGGGCGCCCGGAGAGTAGCTGCCATCACCGTAAAGAGCAAGTGGTAATGGCCAGAACCCGTCGGGCCAGCAGTGCATCTCCCACTCTCTCTCAGTCGCTACGTCCCAACGCAAGTCACTTCCGTCCTGGGTGCCTCAGTTTCTTCAGCTGCCAAGTGGGAACATGCTGCTGCGGGACAAGGCCTCGGAGGAGCTCCATCCACCCTGAGCTCTCCAACCCCCGGGCAACCCCCTTCCCCGGCGTGAGCTGGGGATGCGCCCGGGTCCCCTGCTCTCCCCTGTTGTCCACGGGCCCAGACGCAGCGCCCTGCTTGTCCGGAAGCACGAGGTCCAGCTCCCGCTTGGGTCTCGAGTCGGGCTTGACAATCCCTTATCTCAGCTGCAGCCAGGCTGGAGCCCCTCCTTCCCGCCGCATTATTCAATTTCTCAATTACGTAAACGGGAGAATTTGGGAAAGTAAGGGGCGGCCTGGAAACGCACCATGAAAGAGCCTCACCAAGCTGCGCGGGCGAAAGGGGCGCTGGGATCCCTCAACGCGGGGCTGTCTGAACCGGGTTGTTGGTCCGGATGGAGGATCTGCAGCCTGTATGCGCCCATAGTCAACGCGAGCCCCCCTCCCGCCAGCAATCTCCAAGCAACAGGCCGGTCGTCAGGGAGCGACGAAAACAGGCAGGCGCTCCACGTGGGGTAAGGGTGAGGCTCCAGGCCCAGACTATCCTGCTCATCCTCGTCTAGGATGCAGCTCTCAGGAACTGGGGGAGAGAGGAGTGTGTTCCTCTTTCCCCAGCATCGAGGCTTACTCACCTTCAGCCCGCACGACCACGCTTTCGCACTTCCGTACTTCCCGGAGCCGGGCTAAGGCCCTGGCATCTGTGTGCACGAGCCCTTCCCTGTGATCTCGGGTGACCACCCCACAGCTCCATGGACCCCTGACGATCCCTGTCGCCCTCCCCTTCCCCAGCCGATCTCAGATGATACCCTCCAAAGGCCTCCGGGTGATATCCGGCAATTCCCACAGCCCCCCCTTGACCCTTGGTGACTTCCACCAACCCCAGACTTGCTGTCGTGACCCCCACAATCCCTAGACTGCCTCCTGGTGACTTTCACAAGTCCCGTGTGACCTCGCGGACTGGAGAAGGCCCCTGGTCTTTGCACATTCCTTTGCGAAGGCCTCGTGGTCCCTGGGGCGGGGGTAAGCAGAATAGGTTCGCCCCAGGAGTCAGGCGCACCATCCCGGGAAGTGGGAGTCCGGATTCTGAGCGCGCGCCCAGGCCAGGAGTGAGAGTTCCAGCGTCTTGGGCTGGGTTCTGGCGGCCCTCCCCCAAGGTTCCCGGGCCGCCCCCGGTCACGTGGCCGGTGGGGCCGGCAGGTAACTCGCCGGGAGAGGGCGGGGGCCGGTAGCTGCCCCGCCCCGTGGGGCGCCGCGGGCGGGTCTCAGCAGAGCCCTCTGCGCCAGCGAGCTGCAGGTGCCGCCCCCGACACACAGTGTCCCGCCCAAGCTGATCTGCGTCTGTCGGTCTGTGCGTGCGTGCGCCTCGTCGGTCCGCGTGTGGCTGGCCGAGCGCCCCCTTCCTCTGCGGCCATGACTTCGCCGCCGCCCCCGCCCCCAGGCCCGGACCCCGGGGCAGACTCCACCGCGGACCCATGCCCAGGGCCTGGATCACTGGTCGTCCTGTTCGGGGCCACAGCCGGTGCGCTGGGGCCAGACTTGGGCTCCGACGAGACTGACTTAATCCTTCTAGTCTGGCAAGTGGTGGAGCCGCAAAGCCGCCAGGTAGGGTGGAAAGTAGACCGTGGGGGTCCCCAGGGACCTTCAGGGCCCCAGGGGCGCCGCAGCTGATCGGTTTTCCCCGCCGCTCGCAGGTGGGGACGCTGCACAAGTCGCTGGTTCGCGCCGAGGCGGCAGCGCTGAGTCCGCAGTGCCAGGAGGCAAGCGGCCTGAGTGCCGACAGCCTGGCTCGGGCCGAGCCGCTGGACAAGGTGCTGCAGCAGGTGAGCTCCAGAGCCAGGGTGGGTGGCGGCACGGCCGGGCTTCGGAGACATTTCTGTGCGGGAGAGGCGGCGGGAGGTGAAGGCCTGGCGCGCCACAACCGACTGTCCGGGGCGGTAGGACAGGGTCTTATTTGAAACTTCGAGCGATTCCTGCGTGTGCGTGTCCGCGTTTGCTGGCCATTCCCGGGGGTGCCTTACTTTTCAACCTTTACGGGGCTCCACTCCTACTTAGGGGATGGGCATGCAGGCTGCGGGATCCATCCCGAGTTCCCGGCCTGCGTGGGGAGCAAGACTGAGACGCCTCTGGGAACCTACCAGGTGAGGTCTCCCAGAGCAGCAGCCGGAAGCGGGAGGGTCACGCCGCCCAGACTTGGCCATAGGTCATCGGTCCTTGCCGCCGCGTCCCCGGCCCGCCTGGGAGCCGCTGAAGCGGGGGCGTAGGGCGGTGTCTGCCCCAGAGGCAGACGCCGCCAGGTGTAAGCTGCTCGTCTAGGCCTGTCCGGGCCAGCCAGCCAGGCGTGGGCGCGGTCCGAACCTCACCTGGGGGCTACGCCTGGGGTGCCTCCAGCGCCTGGCTGAAGTGCGAGGTGGTCTCCACTGCTATTTTCTTATTCTTATCTTTAACTACCGTGCTCACCCTGTGCCTGACTCTTCTTCAGTGTAATGAGTGTAAATCCTTTTCATGCACAAATTCTTTCATCTTCCAACAACTCTGGTGGTTCCTGATGAGGAAACACAAAGATGCTGAATCTGAGTCTCGTCCAGAAGGGCTCCTAGCCTGGCCCCCGCTTGGGGAGTTTGCTGAAGACCTGGGTTGCCCTTGCTCTGCCAGCCTGAGGTTGTAAAGTGTCACAGAATTGGTAGGGGTGGGAGTAGGGGAGTTTCCTGGGTCTTATACGTCTTATTCAGTGGGAATGGAGGCTGGGGGAGGGGCTGGGCAGCCTCCGGAGTGCCACCCCCTCTATGTACAAACAGCTCAGTGCCAGTCGGTCGATAGGGTGTGGGTCAAAGCTCATGCTGCCCCTGGTGTCCAAGTGTGGGGCTCTGTCCTTGGAGTTTCTCTGCCCTCGGTTGGTTGGTTGGACCTAGAGGCGGGGCTGCCATTGACCGTGAGCCTTCTGGGCTTCAGGCAGCCCTGGGCCTCCCCCACCTGTCTGAGGGTGGTGCCTGGTCAGGGACAGGTTTAACCTGCTTTGCCCCGCCCCTTCCCACCTGCTTGTCCCACTCCACCAGGTGTTTGCTCTGGCCCCACTCCAGACTCCTGGAGTGTGTGTGATGGGGGCTTGGGTTATGTGTGACTACCCTCATTTGGCCTGGAGGAGTTGACAGTGGACTGCGACGATGGGGGTGGGGGTGAAGGATGGAACATAGGGTCAGGCCCAGCAGGCGTGGCCTCCTCCTCCCCAGGTAAGGTAGGGCTGAACATCTGGCTGAACCAGCTTTGCAGCCTGCCTCCTTCCTCCTCCTACCCCCAGTTCCTGCCTGCCCAGCTGTGAGAGTCTGTTTCTGTTTCTCTCCCCACTCCCTATCCCCAGTTCTCCCAGCTGGTGAGCAGGGATGTGGCTCTGCTGGGCGGGGGCCCCTACGTGCTCTGCACTGATGGGCAGCAGCTGTTGCGACAGGTTCTGCACCCTGAGGCCTCCAGGAAGGTATGGCACTGAGGGCACAACAGGGGATAGGGCTTCCAGGACCCCCGATGTCGTGGGGGTGGGCAGGGCCCCTCAGTTCCCCCATTCATCCCCACTCCTGTGTGCTCCCAGAACCTGGTCCTCCCCGACACCTTCTTCTCCTACTACGACCTCCGCAGAGAGTTCCACATGCAGCACCCAAGCCTGAGCCCTGCCAAGGACCTCACCGTGGCCACCATGGCACAGGGTATCTGGCCCAGCAGGGTTGGGTGGAGGGGTGACTTCAGGCTGTGTGTGTCCGAGTATGTGCATGCTGGAGGGTGGGTTATACCAATACATGCAAGTCTGCATTACCTGCTGAGTCCTGGAGTGTACCCGTGTCTTTGTACTAGGTTCTGTTTGCAACGTGGGCGTATGTCTGGGCAGGGGACCTGTAAGGACACACATGAACTGGGCCCAAACAAACGTTATGTGGTGGGCTTCTGCAAGTGTCTGCAGAGGGGACTTGGTCCCAGGTGTGAACAAGATTAGCGCTCATGCTGGGTACCTCAGGGCCTCTCATGCTGGGATTTCTTCATTGTCACTTATCTTCCTATAGACTTGGGACTGGAGACAGATGCCACAGAGGATGACTTTGGGGTCTGGGAAGTGAAGACAATGGTAGCTGTCATCCTCCACCTGCTCAAAGGGCCTAGCAGTAAGATTTCCCTTACTGCCTGTCACCTGCTCTCAGGATGGGGTGAATGTCTGGCTATTACTTCCTCAAAGTCCTCCTCCCCAATTGTGACCTTCTCTAAGAGACTGCAAGATGGAAGCCCCTTTGTCACCTCGTCCTCTCCCTCAACTGTCCTCTTTTTGCACAGCTTGGTGGGGAGAAACCCCCACCACCAGACCCTGCTGACGCCCATGCCTTCTCCTCTCACTAGGTCCACTGTTTTTGAAGCCCGAGGTGATCAAGCAGAAATATGAGACGGGGCCTTGGTGAGTGTGGGAGCAGGGGTGGGGTGAAAACAGCTGGACAGCTCTGACCCTCTGCTCTGCCCCCACAGCAGCAAGGCTGATGTGGTGGACAGTGAGACTGTGGTACGGGCCCGTGGGTTGCCCTGGCAGTCATCAGACCAGGACGTGGCTCGCTTCTTCAAAGGGCTCAACATTGCCAGGTGAGTGTGGCAGGGTGGGTGGGTCCAAGAAGACAGGCCTAACTAGGAGGCACTAACAGCACTGGCTCCACAGGGGTGGTGTAGCGCTCTGCCTCAATGCCCAGGGTCGCAGAAATGGTGAGGCCCTCATCCGCTTTGTGGACAGCGAGCAGCGGGACCTAGCGCTGCAGAGACACAAGCACCACATGGGCGTCCGCTATATTGAGGTGGGGCTTTGGGCTGGGAGTGGAGCAGGGCAAAGCCGAGCCAGACCTGAGACCCATGGGCTGTTCCCTCTGTACCCACAGGTATATAAAGCCACAGGGGAGGAGTTTGTAAAGATCGCAGGGGGTGAGTGTGCCCCCAGCAGAGCCTGGCTCCCTGGGTTCTTGACCCATCTCCCACTTTCCCACTAGCCCTTGCCTCTCTGCTCCCCTGTGTGGGTGGGTGTTCAGAGGAGCACAGGTGAAGTCAGCAGGTGACTCCCACACCCTCCACCCAGGCACATCACTAGAGGTGGCTCGTTTCCTGTCACGGGAAGACCAAGTGATCCTGCGGCTGCGGGGACTGCCCTTCTCGGCTGGGCCAACAGACGTGCTAGGCTTCCTGGGGCCAGAGTGCCCAGTGACTGGAGGTGCTGATGGGCTGCTCTTTGTGCGCCACCCTGATGGCCGGCCAACTGGTGATGCCTTTGCCCTCTTTGCCTGTGAGGAGCTGGCACAGGCTGCGCTACGCAGGCACAAGAGCATGCTGGGTAAGCGATACATTGAACTCTTCCGGAGCACTGCAGCTGAGGTGCAGCAGGTGAGCACCCAGGGTCCCCACCCTGCATGTACTGATTCTCCAGGGTGGCCCTTTGGTCCTCTGTGCCTCTGTTCTACTTGGCATGACCAGCCTGCTGCTGCCTTCCTTACTAGGTCCTGAACCGCTATGCATCCAGTCCACTTCTTCCCACACTGACTGCCCCACTGCTGCCCATCCCCTTCCCACTGGCAGCTGGGACCGGGAGGGACTGTGTACGCCTTCGAGGCCTGCCCTACACAGCCACCATTGAAGACATCTTGAGCTTTCTGGGGGAGGCAGCAGCAGACATCCGGCCCCACGGTGTGCACATGGTGCTCAACCAGCAGGTGAGGCTGCTTCTGATTGGGGTACACACATAGTTAGGAAGGGGTGTGTGTTAGGGGTAAGGTACTCTTGCAAACGACAAAACTGCTCATCAATGTGTGCACAGGGCCGGCCATCAGGCGATGCCTTCATCCAGATGACGTCAGCAGAGCGGGCCCTAGCTGCTGCTCAGCGTTGCCATAAGAAGGTGATGAAGGAACGCTACGTGGAGGTGGTCCCCTGCTCCACAGAGGAGATGAGCCGTGTGCTGATAGGGGGCACCTTGGGCCGCAGTGGCATGTCCCCTCCGCCCTGCAAGCTGCCCTGTGAGTGCCCCAGGGGTTGGGGAAGAAGGAGGCCTGTGGGGGCCAGGCTGTTATAAGCCCCCACTTTCTATAGTGGGGACTCCTTTCTGGCTGCCCCCCCCCCCAGGGCATTGCCGGGCTCTGTGCAGATGCACTTTTTACTTCTGTCTCTAGGCCTCTCGCCACCCACCTATGCCACCTTCCAGGCCACCCCAACCCTCATTCCCACTGAGACGGCAGCTCTGTATCCCTCTTCGGCACTGCTCTCAGCTGCAAGGGTGCCTGCTGCCCCCAGCCCTGTTGCCTACTACCCAGGGCCAGCCACTCAACTCTACATGAACTACACAGCCTACTACCCAAGGTACCCTGCCACGAAGAGAACTCCATAGTCCTGCTCCCTGTCCTAGTTTTGGGGAGAGCCATGATCCCTGTTCTGGGCCAGATAACCCAAGGTCTGTTGGAGATTGGACTCTATCCAGAGAGGAGAGAGAGTAACAGGTGTGAGATGGTTAATGCCATCTATGAAATAGATTGGAGATGGCTCTGTAAAGGCAGGGGTCTTAGGGAGGAGAAAGAACTAAACTAAGCACAAGGCAGAGGCAAGGGAGGGAGGCAGGTCTTGGTCTAGGCCACAGGTGGAATGCACTACTAAACCCATCTCTCTCACCCTAGCCCCCCAGTCTCCCCTACCACTGTGGCCTACCTCACTACGTCCCCTGCTGCCCTGGCCTCTGCTCCCACCTCAGTGTTGTCCCAGCCAGGAGCCCTGGTCCGCATGCAGGGTGTCCCATACACAGGTGGTATGAAGGATCTGCTCAGCGTCTTCCAGGCCTACCAGGTGAGATTATATGGCTGGAGGGCTTGAGGACTTGGCTGAGCCTAGAGCTCTGTGCCTTAAATCTGCGTCCCTTCTGCAGCTAGCCCCTGATGACTACACCAGTCTGATTCCTGTTGGTGACCCTCCTCGCACTGTGTTACAAGCCCCCAAGGAGTGGGTGTGTTTGTAGGTGAAGAAGCCAGGAGGTAAGAGCTAGCTGATAACCTCAGCTAACATGCCTCTCCTTCATCCAGAGGACCAATGCCCTTGACCTGGTGGCTTCTTTCTGGCTTGTCAAAGTTCTCAGAAGGCACCTAGAGGAGCCCAAGCCCCAGTTCCATTCTTTACTTATTCCTCTGCCTGTTTACCCCAAAGATGATGGCTGGACCCTGCATGCAGGTCTAGGGGAAGAATGGGGCTAACCTGCTCCTGATGGCCTGAGCCACGCTCTTGAGTGGCACCTTGAGAGCCCTTTGGTCTGTCCTGGCTGTGGCCCAAGCCCACAGATATTGTGGGGCTGACAGGTCCATAGCAGGCTTGCTTTTTTAAAATGTAAGCTCTGGTACCTTCAATGTATGACTCCTGGGAGAATCAAGGGTCCATCTGAGCCTCTGAGTAAAAATCCCAATGTTCTACCTCCCCCTGTCACTCTGGGTAGGGTAGGGAGGCAGACCAGCCCCCACCCTCAGGATACCTGGATCTCAGAGACCATGTTGTGCCAGGTGGTCCCACCTAAGGATGCTAGCCCCCCTCCAGCACAAGGAATATCAGATGGCAGAACCAGCAAGCTATTTTGATGGACTATGCTGCAGTATCCCCAGAGGACACTAGGGGGCAGGAGGCCCCCACACAAAAACTCAGGCTTGAATTTTAAAGGGGACTTTCTGCCAACTTTTCATGCACACCTTGGGAGGGGACTAGTTGTCCAGAACCAAGAAGACACTGTGGAATGTCCTTTGCACCTATTAAAGGGTGCAGAACTGAAGCCTCGGAAGGAATCTGGAATTCTATCCTCGCCATAAAATAAAAGTTCCTGACCAAGTGGACTTTTTAAAAGCTGCAATATCCTTAGCTACCCAGAGTGAGGGGTTCTACACCAGCCCCAGGTGGTGGAAAACTCAGACAGATTAAGGAGACTGTTGATCTGTCACCATTTATTATTTCAGCACTATTAACTGTGGAGCCTAAACTGCTGGCTCTTCTTCCCTTTGTATTAATATTTGTGTAAGGAGCATTGCACTCCTATAAAAGGTTTTGAAATACAAAATGTACAAGAAAACACAATCCCAAATGCTGTAAACATAACTGAGAACCAGTTCCTTTACTAAACATCCATTTTATAAAATACAGGGTTTCAACTGAGCCCATGTGAGCCTTAAAGATCTGTTCTGAATATCAAAAATAGGGCTTCACAGCCAGGCCCAGGAGAGGTCTGGTGATAGTGGCCGGCTCTGGGTAGGCTGGTTTGCAACTCGGGCAGCAGCACCACGCATGAACCCGAAGACATCTGTTCCTTTTAAAACTGTGTTCAGCCATGTTTCTCTGTCCATCTCTAGTAAGCAGAAGGCTGCTCATTCTATTCCTCAACCCAAGATCTAGCACGGGTTGCAGAAGGAAGGGGTGCATGCTGCTACTAGAAATCATTTGCATAGTACAATGGATGTGTGCTTTAATACCACTTGTTGCACAAAAACTTAAGTCTTTATCTACAAAGCCAGAAAATATTGACTCTTACACCAAAGCTTTTACAAAGCTGATATAAAACTGCTTACATAGTATACAAAGCTCTATTTTAAAATTTAACTTTTATTTTAAATAGGAAAGCATTTCTAGTGCTACAGGCATCAAGGTATTTAAAAGGCATCAAAATTTGGTGCATAGCAACTCTGGATCATTGAGGCTTGTATTCTTGAGGGCAGCAAAACTACCCCCAAAGGGTCTTGCGAGGGGAGCTCTTGTAGGAACCCCATGTGAGGCAGCTACACCAGGGGCAAAAGGATAGAGGCAGTTCTGGCGATGTCTCTGGAACTTCACCTGAGAGGCCAACTTCCTGCCCCTCCAAAGGAAGCTATGAGCTTCCAACCACAGGCCCTGAAACAAATCTTACTATCTACACTCTGTGACACAAAACGCACTTTCAAACAAAATTTGAAAACACCCAGCTCCAAGAGGGACCAGAGTGATTTGCTGAAGGACAGACATTTTTAGGGGAGAAATCCAAAACATGGTTGGTTTTTTTCTTAAAGACCATACTTGTCATCCTGGGTCAATAGCTCCTACCCTACTGACAAGTGGTGGGCAATGGGCTGGTCCCCTTGCCCAGGCCTGAACTGGCCTCAGTAGAGTTAGTCTTGGTATCTAGGGCCTGCACTGGAATAACAGCATCAAGCCTTCAATCAGCCTAGCATACTGTCTCACATATAGGCACTCAAAAAATCTGCTTCCTGAATAAATGAAAGTACATTTCATTTGAAAACATGCAAACTTCAGGGGTTTTGAGATAGGCCCAGGAAGTAACAAATCCCACTGAGGGAGTGGTATGGACAGGCTTTTAAAAAAGCACCTAACTTGGGCATCTCCTTTGGTAGACAGCAGGCTGGAGCTTCTGTTGGCCCCTGCCTTGGATGCCAGTCTCACCAGCAGCAGCACCAGGGTGTCTTTGGTGTGGAGGGTCAGGTCATCGTTTCTGGATGTGCTCAAAGCCTTTTGGAGAAAAGGCTGGTTTTTAGGTCATAGAGACAGGAAAGGGTAGGCCAGAATCATTTCGGGCTGTAAACAGAGTTGGGGGATAAACCTCCCATGCCAGTGTGAATCTTAAAACCTTCCCATCTGGAGTCCTGCATTTTCTCTGCCTGTCCTGATGCTCATCTGTCTTTAGCTCCTGACATAGCCTGGCCTGTAGAGAAGAGTTAGAACTGCAAAGCTGTCTAAACCAACAAGAGACTGTGGCTTCAAAGGTTACAGAACATCCAAAGACAGATGCTCCTGTTTGAAAAAGGTTCTGGGACCAGAGGACACAAAAAGGAAGAGCACACCACAGCCTACTAATGTTTAGGATAGCAGGAAATGAAAGTGACCAAGCTAAAACCCCACTTTTGAATGTCACCTTACATGTACCATCTTACTCAAGGTCCTGAGGGAAAAAAGCAATTTCAACATGGAGCTAGTATGGAGAGATTGCAGGAAGATTATCTAGAAAGTTACAAAAAGGCTATGCTCTGGAATGTCTTTTTATATTCCAACACTTCAATGATGGAATGGTCTCTTCTCATTTTATCTAACAACAGTTTGCTTTTATAAAGAGGTATGGGCTACATTTGGCTTTATTTGCTATGAATCTATGAAAGTCTTCAGGACACATGCTGAGTTTCTGAGGCATAGGTGTGGGCTTGGGGTAATTTTTTTTCTTTTTTTTTTTTTGTTTGCCTCTGGAAGGTTTTATCAAAAGTTCCTATTTTTTAAATATCATCAAAACTAAAGGGCCCTTCAAATAACCACAAAGCAGTATAAATCACCAATCCTAGCTAAGTAACCAGGTCACCTGCAAAAGCAGCACCTCTGAAATGGACAGCCTGCTGCATTCACACTCAAAGCACCCATCATATAAAGTATCCTATTTAAATATAAAAAGCAAAGCTCATTTTCCCAAGCTCAAACAACCTATGCTGTTCCTGTTCTTTTATAAAATCTACCCAAGGCCTGAGGTGGAGGAATGCTCCTTTCCCCACAAATGGTAAGTCCAACTTCTGATGCCAGTCCCGAAGGCTGCAGAGTTGGAAACCCAAGGTCCAAGGAGAGAAACACGCTGAGAAGTTGGTGGTAGAAACAAGGTTGCAGTGAGCACTGTTAGAGCCCGACGGATCTTCCTAAATCCAGGGACTCGGGATCCGGGAGGGGAGCCTGTCTGCTCACCCCTGTTCCTTGGGAAACAGAAATCTGGGACATATCTCTCCCAATTATCTCATTCACTGAAAAACAAGAAACGGGAGAGTGATTAGTGACCTCTGAGTGACTAACCACACAGTGCTCAACACTGAGCTCTACCTCAGCCATTTCCCTTCCCATGACTTTCTAGAAAGGTAAAGGTAGCGCCTGAAGCCTGCTCCCCAGCTGAGTGGCATGAGAGGTGGAAACATCATTCCACAAGCTGCTCCAGACCCCCCTTTCTCTCCCTCTCAGTTCAATCTGGGTTGGGAAGGAGGATGGCTGAGAGAATAGGAAACATTCTTACCCTTGATCTAAAGGCTCATGCTCTAGAACAGAGTACTTTCAGATAAGTGTCCACCTTAATCTAACTTTTCTTTAGTTTGCTTCCCTTTTGGAAAAGTTTTCTTCTGATTCCTGCAGTGCCACCCCTCATGTAAAGTGAATGAAAATAAATGCTTTGGTCAGAGTAAACCACTGAGATTTGGGGCTAATTTTGTTATTCTATCCTAGCACCCTTTATGATGTAGGGGCATTTCTGTGGTTTGTAATCCTGTCTGATTGCAGGCTCTTGCTTTTTTGTTGGTTTCTTTGATATGCCAAGCACCGCAGGGAGCACAGTGCTCTGTGAGATCCAATTCAAAGAATTCCCACCTTACGGAACTAAGATAGAAGGAAACATCCCAAATTCCCCAGATAAGAACTTTTAGTTTCCCCAACATTTCATTCCCTACTAATTCCACTCCTACACATATATACAAGAGAAGCAAAAACATACATCCACATGAAAACCTGTACTCAAATGTTCACAGCAGCATTATTCATAAGAGCCGAAGTGGAAATAACCCAAATGTCTACCAAGTGATTAATGGATAAACAAAATATGGTCTCTATCCATACAGTGGAATATTCAGTCTTGAAATACAGTGAAGTTTTGATACATGCTACCACATGGATGAGCCTTGAAAACAATATGCTAAATCAAAGGCCAGACACAAAAGGTCGTATATTGTATGATTCCATTTACATGAAATGTCCAAAACAGGCCAATCCATAGAGAAAACAGATTACTAGATGCAGGGAGGGAGGGGAAGAGGAAGTGACTACTAGTGGGTATGGAGTTTCTTTCTGGAGTAATCAAAATGGAATTCTAAAATTAGACAGTGGTAGTAGTTACACAACTCTGACTATACTAAACCCTCTGAATTGTATACTTTCAAGGGTGAATTTTATGGTATGTGAATTGTATCTCAATACAGCTGTCATAAACAAAAATAGACCAAGACAAAAAAATTCTATACTTAGAATCTGATGTGCATAGAGCAAAAAGACACTAACATTTAAAAAATCTTCAAGTATTAACATCTAATCTTTTTATAGTTTACATAGATAAGAAAACAAATTCTTCAAACTCATGTACTCATATGGTTATAAAGAGAAGGGAATTAACATTTATTCATCCCACAAATATTTACTAAGTATCTATAGATTAGACTTTATAATTGAAATTAAATCTTATTTCAATTAACACTTTTTTTTTTTTGAGAGATAGAGTCTCACTCTGTTGCCCAGGCTAGAGTGCCGTGGTGTCCTAGCTCACAGCAACCTCAAATTCCTGGGCTCAAGTGATCCTACTGCCTCAGCCTCCCAAGTAGCTGGGAGTACAGGCAGCACTCGCCACCATGCCTGTCTAATTTTTTGTTTCTATTTTTAGTTGGTCAGCTAATTTTTTCTATTTTTAGTAGAGATGGGGTCTCACTCTTGCTCAGACTGATCTGAAACTCCTGCCCTCAAGCGATCCTCCCACCTCGGCCTCCCAGAGTGCTAGGATTACAGGTGTAAGCTACCATGCCCAGCCCATAACACTCTAATATAACTATTATCCTACTTTACAGATGAGTTAATTGAGGCTTTGACAGGTCACACAATTTGCCTTCAGGTCACATGCTTAGTAAATACTGGAATCGGCTTCAAAACACCTGTCATATTCATAGAGAGGCAGGAAAATAATTTAGACAAGGAAAATACAAAGGACCTGGGCAAAATGTGGTGATCCTAGGGAAGGGGGGGCAAGTATGGTGATGGTGAGGAGGAGGAGAGAGAAAAAGAATGGTGCTATTGTCACTGCTGGAAATAAACTGAGAAGTTTAGAGAAGGAAAGTGGTAGGCTAGGTCCTGAATTGGAATTAGAAAGTACAGCACCCAAATGGAAAAATCAGTGGGCAGGAGGCTGTAGTGAATGGTCAGAGTAAGAAGAGATTTACACATATTCATATTCCCACTAGAGACCTGGAAGCACAGGAGAAGTTTTGCACTGAAGGACTTGGGTCCACTGATGAGCAGAGGCTGAAAAGAATGAACGGGGATAGCATTGTGCTCAGATGAGAGGACAGACCTGGGAAAGCAAATATGTAAGTGGAAAAGTGGCCTTGAAATTAGGTTTGGTTTGAATTCAGGCTCTGCCACTAACGTAATTTCATGTGTATCCTTGGACAAGTTATTTCACATATGTAAAACTCCATTTCCTTATTTATACAAGGACAGTGTTGGACTAATAAGATCTCTTCCAGCTGTAGTAGTCTGTGGTTTTATGTCAACTGACAATTTTCAAGTGGCAGCACTCAGAAAGTATGCAAGGAATTGAAGGACGAAGATTTGGCTTAATTGTGGTTGGTACTGAATGTAGAATAGTGAAGAAACAGGGACTAGAAGCCAAAGGACTCTAACTACAAAAGAGTGAAGATTAATGCTGGAGAGCTCAATGTTGGACAGCTAATAATCATTAATTGATGCAAAGGTCTTTGTCAGATGACTTTAAAGTAAATTTGCCAGGCTAGGATTTACTGATGGTTGTTTGCAAATAATGGAATATAAACTAAACTTATTCCTGACTTGCTAGAAATAACTCACTGGAATAGTGAGTTATTAGTAATAGTAAATGAGAAGTTACGAGGATGCTTTGCATGAGAATACATTTTTCTCTTCTGTTACCTTATCAGTGTAACAGGGAAAAAACCTCATATGGTATATAAAGTGGGAACATAGAGGGGGCATAAGAAGGCAAGGCAGTCCTTGGCACCTGTTATTTCAAGCCACATAAAATGCAAGGAATAGTGTTTTCAGTGTAGATTCTAAGGGTTCCATGGGCTAGACCCATGCTAAGAGGGAGACCAGAGATGGCCCACAATCTCCGTGCACGATCTAGAACATTCATCCTCATCACATCAGATTACCCATAGGCATCATCACTATCTGTCTGCCAAATAGACTGTGAGCTCCTAAAAGGCAAGGACCTTACTACTGAGGAAACATCAAGTTCTGATGACTGAATAAATGGATCCTAATTTACTATAATCACATGGAAAAGGTTAGGAACTAGTACGGTGAAAGTTCATTAGGTGGTGGGTAGGAAGGAGAGCAGAGAGTGTTATCAAGACTAACATACAGCATCTGATTTTGACAGTGTATATTTTAGGCAGGCCTTACAGCAGTGGCAAAAAGTCAAATATATAAGCAAGTAACCCAGCTTACATTCAAGTCATCTTTTCCTATCACTTATCCCTTCCAAAGGTAGAATCTTCAGAGATGTTTTGGGCTGCTATGAAACATACCTTTTTCAATTTTTACTTCATTGTTCAAGTTTTAAAACTATAAGCTGATTAAAAATGGTGCTTTATCATCAAAAACCACATGATATGTTGTTTTTTGTGTCTTTATAAGGAGTCAACACTTACATTTTCCTGAGGATAAGGGTCCATTATCCAGCACTTTCCATCCACTTACCAAGTACTTACATAAGGATAAAAACATCATTTTCTGAAGCAGGCAGGTGGTACCGTTTATAACAAAAGCTGGATCGATATTGTGTTATTCCTGCTCCCCCTTACCAAAGTTCTGCTGTTCTTTCACCTGGTATGCCTAACCTCACTTAGCTGACGCAACCTGGAAGGTCCCTGGCAATATAGGATTTTAAGAGTGTGATGAAGTCAAGAAGAGTTTCCACAGAGTAGCACTCAAGCTGAATACACTCAAATATACATTAAACTACAGGATTCACTTATTTGTAATTTACCAATAGTGAGTAGATTTAAGTTCCAATAGGCAAAGGACTTTGTCTATTTTGTTCTCCCTTGAATCTTCAGTGTTTGTACATATTCAGTACTAAATACAATTACTTGGCAATTGAATCTCTAATACAATGTGCGGACTTAGAACAATGACAACAAAAATCATGCTCAAGTAATCACTACAGGTGAGCAGTGAATACAAATTTTTAGGATAGGGAGTCAGAACTGCAACAAAGTCCTTTCACAATAACTTGAGCCCAGTGTTAATTACGCAAGTCCTCTGCTTTCCTTGCTCCCCTCACACTTCTCCCAGGCTGAGGACTCTGGGTTCCAGCTCTTACCCTCCAGGTTCCTGACATGTCTTTCTGCTGACATTGGCCAAAATGTAGGTGTCAACTGAAGCAAGTCAAAATTATTACTGGTAAACAAATCTACAATGTAATGTATGCGTAAAATCAACAGCAAACTTGATAAACACAATACTCAAGTTATTTCTTAGAAGTACTAATAGTTGCAATTTCATTTTTTACTTTTTGAATGTATATAATGCATGAATTTATTGATTTATTTAAACTCTAGTCCACTCAATATTTGAGGAGGCTTTTTCTTTTTTTAACCAATTTAAGATAGCATAAAGAGTTGTTTATGCCCCTAATGTACAATTTTATCATTTTCTTCCCTTTAAAGAGTAAAGTAAATTAAAAGTCTAGAACAACAGCCCTCAACACCAGTGCTAACGGGTTATGTAGGTCACAGCATCTGGCCCACTTTTGGCAGCCACCATCCTCGACTCCCACTACCACAACACCTGAATTTGCCCGTGCCACCACACAAAAATAGAGTCAGAGCCATCAGCAATATGTGCTGCAAGAAAAAAACTTTTCTATCCAATAGACGTTCAAGTTAGCAGCCCACTGGAATGCTATTTCTAAACACAAGAATGAGTAGCAACAGGTCTCTTATTTAGAACTATTTTT